CTCTATTGCTCTGAAATTTTTTTCAGGGATTGTTTGATGTTTGTTCTAAAGATAGAACTACAATTAGTTAGCATTGCACAAAAATTTGTGTTGCTAATATTTAAACGAAAGTTTATGAATAGTAATTTTTTGATGAAAATTTAAGAGCGATGTGTAAAAAAACTTTTGATACACATTATTGCTCTATATTGTACCTGAAACAAGTTAAATACATTAAAGTACTTATAACCTCCTTTTTTGTACAAAAATAATTTTGAAAAAAGCAAAACTGATGCGCAAGGGACATTTTATGTATTGCTAATTTATCGTTAATTAAAAATATACTTTTAGCTGTAACTTGAAAAATAATTAACGTTTTCTTAAAAAAAATTATACACAGGCTTCTATTGAGCTTACCAACATTCAATAAAAATTTCATATGGCTAGGAAGAAAATTAAAATTTTTGGTTTTGAACGTCCATTGTCCCCTTAAGTAGCTTAGCATTTTTAAAGAATTTGTATATTTCATATTTTTATTTGATAAAACCTAATCAGTTTGATAAAAAGCAGTGAGGCCCCATTTTTTAATTTGCCCCAGGGCCCTTGGTTACCTAGCTACGCCACTGTTAAGAATCGGTATTTTTAATCACTATTTACTATGAAAGTAATACGTTGGAGGAAAAAAAATCCGAAATGTGTGATGTAGAATTATAATTGTAAGCATACGAAATTACAAAAACGGGGTTAAAAATTTCACTCCGTAATAATAATTTTTATGTTTGATGTATAAATCTACATAATAGTTTCATAAATAATAATTATTTTTCTCATTTTAGCGAATCGATGATTCAAATGTTTTTTAAATAAAATCTATTAGACAATTACAGTTTTAAATTTTGGGTAAGTGTAGTTTGGTAGACTTAAGGTAGTTCGCTCAGACTCATTAAAAATTTAAACAGTTTTGAATTAACAAACCAGCTTACATTTGTTAATTCGCAAACTGTTACGTAGGATAAGCAGTGGCAGATATATTTCTTAACAAGTACCTAATAGTAAAACTTAAACTAAATATTTAATTCACATGTAAACTTGAAATATTTTTTTAATTTCATATGTAATCATCATATATTAATAATTTAAAAGCTTGAATACGGAAATAAAAGGTTCTTGTAAGTGAATTTTATTGATGTTCCAATTATTCAACTATTTGATTATCTGAACGGTCTAGTAGTTAGGCTGTTTCATTTTCCTTTTTTACCGAAAGAAGTTAACTATTCAAGAGTAACAATTCTTTTTCTTGATTTTAGCATATTTTCTACAAGGAAATACATATTATAACTGTTAATAACTCTTGGCACTCACGGATATTTCATTCGTCTTCAAAGGCATGAAATGGGGAAGAGGATTTTTACCTGCGTTTTTCTTTCCTTCTGTTTCAATAAAACAGTTAACTCGTAGCCGTGATGGCTAAGGGGATAGAGCGTTCGCCTTCCAATGAGGTGAACCGGGTTCGAATCCCGACAATGGCTGGTCGATACGAATTCCGCATCCGGCTTGTACCGATCACAGTGCTGACGTGAAATATTTTCAGTCGTAGACGGCAGTGACATATATATATATATATATAAATTAAATTTAAAAAAAACCCAATTATCTTACCATTCTTTATCTTCCTAAAAAAAGACATATTCCAAAAATGGAGATATTGTCCACTGCCTTTGGCAATTAAATCTCAGAAGAAAAGGCTAGTGCCTCGACCAATACGCTTAAAGCAAACTGGACAGAAAAAATTGTGGTTTCACGTACATTTTAATATGATCTTATTTTGATAAGAATTTCATAAAAATTGCTCACGTAAGCATGCCTTCCAACTAGGCCTAGCCATAAATCTGTAACTGAATGTCTGAGACCGCGTAAGAATACCCTCCTACTAGGCATAGGTGCAATTGGATGCCTCAGGCGGCGTAAGAATGTCCTTTAACTAGGCATAGGCATAAATCTGTAACTGTATGTCTGAGGTTAGGTAAGAATAAAATTTTTTTAGGCATAGGTATAAATCTGTAATTGGATGTCTGAGGCCTCGTAAAAATATGCTGGAATTGCTTCGGAATTTCAGTAACAACTGTAAAAGATCCATTATCTTTGTCACAGCGAAATTTATATTTTAAATTTTATTCTTGGTTTGATAAAAAATCGATTTAAGATAATTTAGACCATCAGGTTAATTTTTCCAACAATTTAAAAGGCTCAAGGAGAAACAACTCTTACAAAGTAGAGTTTAAATTATTTAGAAGTAGGAAAGGGTAAAACCACTATAAATTAAATTTACAAAGCCAATAATCATACATTAAAACAGAAATTTTGCTACCGCTAGAAAATATATTTATCCGCAATCCGGAGAAAATTAGCATATCTGCTTTAAGAAGCAGAGCATAGTATAAAATGTGGCTTTCAATGTTAAACAGTGGAACCAAATCATTTAAAAAAATTGTTCAGGAATTTTTATTTATTTATTTTTAACACTAAAATTAAACAATACTAAGAGGTCAAATGTGGACAAAGACCTGGAATACTACAAACGAAATCAGAGGTTTGTGCCTTTATTTATAAATACAATGTCGGTATGTATATTATGTATTTCGAATTTAATTGGATTCACTCGTTTATTTTTTTTTAATATAATGGAAAGTGAAACCAAATAAGTTTTGTCCATTGCCACTAATTTTACCATTACTACTACTTTTACTTGTCCATTGCACAATACTTTTGTCCATTGAATAGATATGTCCATTTTCAAAAAAAATATTTCATAAGAAAAGTTTACACAAAATCTATAAAGTACCTAATTTTAGCTAAAAATAATTTTATGTGATAATGCAGATGTCGAAAGTTTTCAGATTATTTGTTTAATTTGTTGTTTCAAATGCTACTTGCCACACTAGCAAGCCTGCTTGGTTAAACCGAGCAAATTTAAGGCAGAGGGTGCGTTTCTTGTTTTTCAGTGGCGCCATCTACGACCAAGAATTCGTCTTCAACCCCACACACGTCACACTCGTTTATGAGGCGGACCCATTCATCCATCCATTCATACATCCACAGATGGTAATTTTTGACCTGGATCAGAGAACGATCAATCTCCAATCCAGTACCCCCAGAGGTTTTGATTTGTTATGGGAACATGGAGGACTTTGCGACTCGACAGATTTAACGTGCATCACTCACCATTTACTACACGAGGAGTCTTCGGCCGGCGGGGTTCGAACCCACGAACTCTCGGACATGGGCCCAGCGCCCTATCGACCAGGCTATCCCGGCTTATTTGTTTATTGTTAAACTAATCGAAGTACATTCAATAATAATGAAAAAAACAGGAGATAAAAAAAATCATTTATCTACCTCAGGGTCGTGCTACCCGCGCTAAAGTGAAAAGGGCAAATTACTATCCGAATAGGTTATACAACATAATGCTTATTAAGAGCCAGTATTTATAACTTACACCAAGAAAAACAAGAAATTAGAAACAAAGAAATACGATCAGAAATATATGAAAAAGAAAATATTAGTTGTAATGTATTGATATTACCAATGTTCTATGTTCTGATTCTATGAGTGTTCTGGTACTTCCAACGTACACAATTTGTATGATAGGATGAATCAGGTATGTCATGTATGTCAGGCGACTAAACGGTACAAAGGCATTCCAACTAAGAATAGTTGCAGCAATGCCTGAAATATCAAATAGAGTGTTAAACATGGAAAGTTAATGATAAGCATAACTATTATTCATTCGCTTATTTTATCAACCAGAATAAATGAAGAGTTGTCTAGAGGAAATGAATTACAATGCTGGCATTAAAAGAATTAAAGAGTTAAGAAGTCTTAATGTTTTTATTTTAAATTTATTGATGTAGAAAACGACGATGCATTATAAACTGTCATCTTGCTGCATAAATAGGTCGCTAAAATTTCACAAAAAGTATGTAATTTAGAGTGTAACGTTTTAATGTGAATAGCTGACATTCATATTAGCAATTATCAATCCCTACGAATACCACATAATTCTTAAGTAACACCAATGCAATCAATTATAAATGCATCCGCTTCTTGCTTAATTTGCAACAATTAACTACGATATATAGCTGTTAATTTTTACGCTTTTCGAGGAAGATTTTTAAGTAAAGGCATGGTAGTGATTTAATGCAGGCAGATATTTTAAAAGTAACCATGTGTTTGTTTGCTTTTTCGAATTTTACCAGGAGCTTACAAACATTGCCACTTGAGTGTTAAGCTTTTTACGTACATGTTTTTAGTATTCATATTTTGTGTTCATCAAAACCACATTTCAAATCAAACTTATTACTGTGAATCAAATATTGAAAAATATATATTTTTTCTGCCAAAAAGAATAACTTGAATGTTTTCCACAAAAAATACATAAAAGTTGGTACTAAAGGAAATCTATATAAATTACATTTTACCAGTCCAACAGGGTCGACGCCTGACGAAGCTAAATGATTTCTTTTAAATGTTCGAAGAACACATTAAAAAAAAAAGGTGCGTACTTTATCATAGAGAAACTTAATACTTCAAAATATAAGGACACCTTAAGCTGCAAGATGGAGGTGTTATATACTAGTTGGTCTTCGATTGATTACTTATATTTTGTCCATTTAAATACAAAGCGTATAAATACTGACAAACCTTACATGTTCGAAATTACTGTTTAAAGTTTAAATTATTCATTCCTAAATTAACAGTACTAAAACTCAAAACGTTTTTGATGCTAGAAGATTGTTCTCAATTTCCTTTCAAAATTTGTTGAATATCAGATTTCCTCAAATTTTGAGTTTAACGAATAAAAACGATGCATACCTCCATTGCCTGTAGCACAAACAATTGTGATCCAAGCCAATGCCAAAGCCCACACGAGTTTGCTAAGGCATGCGTACAAAGTGGACACAAATATGCCAGGAACATTTCCTTGATTCCAGTCATATACTCCATAAACGACACTAATACCTAAACCAAATGCTGCCAACCAACCTATGGCACTAACTTTCTGTAAATAAATAAACAAAACACAATGTAATCGCAATTTAATGATAGTTTTAATTTTTATTAATACTTTTATATTGGACAGTAAAAAAAAATTCAACGATCAAAAACTATCTCCGCGTTTCAAATTAAACCATATTTGGCCAAAGGTGCGTAAACGCAACAGTTCAATAAATATTTCTTATTAATATTGTGACGTATATTTTTCACTAATTTTATTTTTCTGCTATTATCAAGGGATTTGAAGACATCTAAAAAAATGTCAGTAATTTAATTGGAGCAAATATTTTTTGCTAAGAAATTTTTAATATATACTAGTTTCTTAACTTGAGACGATTATTGACAAATTTGAATTAGTCCATTTGAGATTAACCATACATTTTTTTATGATGGATTAAAGTGGCAAGTTTTGTAAATAAAAATAAAATAACACTAAACAAATTTCATAAAAATTACTAGTCTTCAACTAAATGGTTTGACTATTGATTTAGCCAATGATACATATACCCACCATTTTATATCAATAAAATACTATTTTTCTCGAACGAAACTTTTTTTGTGTCTTAATAGATATAACTTAAGCATATTTTAACGAAAACAATACCACATTTTATAAAATTTCTAGGCTTGACCTAAATTAGGTCAATTCGACTAATAAGGAGAAATATATACAAAACAGCAAAGTATAAAAGTTCAAATTATGCAAATTGTAGAAACACGTGATTGTATTGGCACTCTAATAAATGCCATTGTTTACATAAAGGGCGCTACTATAGTCATAGAAGTAACATTGCTTTTGTGGTAGTCCATTTTAATAAATTGAGACAACCTTAAATGTAACAGCTGAGTTGTTAATCTAGTTCAATCTTGAATAGACTATGTTTGAAATGCGTGCTTAAAAAATATATAAATTATTGTGCTTTTAAGAAAATGGACATAGATAAGTTCAAAAGAGGAAGTTTTCTTTATTATGCATTTTGAGCTTTATCTACTTATTCAAATGCACATTTCAAACTAAGATTATTTCCTTACATGCATTTTGAAGGTTCAAAATGAACACTTCTATATTCAAAATGAACGCTTCCCTAAGTAGCTACTTTCAAGTAGTGCAAAAAATAAATAAATAAATAAATAAAAAAAATCTGTTCCACGGTAAGAAACATCCACATTTTAAATTTTACTATTTTTATTCTGTTCTATCTCTTGATTATTAATAAAAGTCAAATAGCTTATGAGTTCACAATCAAATAGAAATCCAATCACTTATTTAGACTGATAACTTG